CAAAACAAAACGAAACAAAACAAAACAAAACAAAAAAAAAAAAAACAAAAAACAAAAAAAAAAACAAAAAAAAAAAAAAAACAAAAACAAACAAAAAAAACCGAACCCACAACTGCAGTACGTGGACGGCGGTGGCTGGGAGATGTGGCGTCGTAGGGGAGCCAGAGGAGGGAACAACGAAGCAGATCGGAAGGGTAGGCGGTGGAGACAGCGTTGGCGGCTGCAGATCGACGGCGCACTGTTCCGAGCGACGAAGCTGTTGTGGGGTGGCGACTGTGGCGTCGGCGGCGGTGGTTGCGTGAGGAGGGGTGTGCGACGGATGGTGCGTGGATGCGGTGAAGGAGGGTTTAGCATATTAGATCTGATTTGGGGTCTGGGATATAAAAATAATTGTTTTTAATTTTTTTAAAAATATTTGGGGTGGGTTGATCGAGATTGGCGCAGAGGAGGAAAGAAAGAACAACTTGATAAATTTGTTTTAAGTGTGCTCCAATGGAGAACGGGGCGAAGGAGGATGCGATGGAGAAGGAGGGGGCGGCTGAGACGACTGGCGATGATGGATGCGATTGGTTAGAGAGAAGACCTAATTTTGCTAAGTATTTGGGACTATTGCGTAATAGAGAAGGTTGGAAGCGGGAATATTTTAATTTCTTAAATATTTGGTGGGAATGAATTAGGTTTTATTTTGAGATGATTTTTAAGATATCAATTGTGGGAATGAATATTAAATTTCCGTCCAATACTATGTTGGACGGATATTAAAATACCTACTATTTTAATTTTTACCTATCAGTCAATTCGACTTTACCAACCAACACTATAGGTTGGTCAGAATTTCCGTCCAACGCGCGAGTGTTGGACGGAATTTCCGTTCAACACTTGCGTGTTGGACGAAAATTCCGACCAACTTTCCGTCCACCCATCTTTAGTAACAGAAAGTTGAAATCTTTAGTAAAATACCGACCAATTTACGGTTGGACGGAAATGTTGGACGGAAAACGCGAGATTTCCAGCAGTGCATTGCCCCTGTAGCCTCCACCGCCACTGCCATTACACGGCTTCGTCCCCACCGCCATTGCCATGCTTCACTTCCTCCCCCGTCGACTTCACCACGCTCCACCGTTGACGCTATTGTTGTCGAGTTTCCGCGTGATCCACCTCAACCATCGCCGCCAACCCACGGTACGCCGATACGTTTAAAAAAAAATTAAATTGTTAAAATATTTGCATTATTATTATTATTATTATTATTATTATTATTATTATTATTATTATTATTATTATTATTATTATTGTGATAAATATTACTACCTCCCGCATTTTATATGTCTAGTTCGATTAACAAGGCTTGATTGAAGTTATTTTTAATTTAATTTTTCATAATGTTAAGTTTAGTATTAGTATATAAAATTTATATATTTAGAAATTACATTAAAAATATCATTAAACACAATTTTTTAAAAATAATTAAAAAATACTAAAGCAAATAAGCAAACAAGAAGGAGTTGGTTTGACCAATTAATAGTAAGTAGAACCGGTAAAATGGGACAAAATGAGTATATTTTTAGAAATTTTATTTCGAATTTGTATTAATTTTTTATTTTTTATTATTATATCTTGAATTGTAAATATATGAATTATTTTGATGAATATATGTATAAATTTGTGGTAATTTTTTGTGCTTATATATACTACAATTTTGTACGTGTGATGCGCGAAAATCTATGCCCAATATTAAAATATTGTTAAGTAACAAAATTTTAAAAATTAGTTAAAATTATGTTTCTCAATTCCTTAAAGTGATGATACTTTTGAATTATCATATATTTGAATAATATAGTGATCACCAGGACTATGTGGTCTAATGGTATCCGGGTTGGACTTCCATTTGGAAGGTTGTAAGTTCAAGCCTCAGTGGAGGCGTTATTAGCTCTCTGTGTTTCAGTAGGTTGAGAAAGTATATGAACAGATACTACAATGTAATAGAGCTAGTAGCATTCAAAAAAAAAAGAATAATATAGTGATCAATTTTTTTTTATATTCTTATATAATAATAATTTACAAATAATACTAAGCTAATTAACACCCACATATATGATATATTGATATGTATACACAAATAATATACATACATTATATATATATATATATATATATATATATATATATATATATATATATATATATATATATATATATATATGGTCAAAGTACCTGCTAGGTCCCTGTACTGTAGCATTTTGTTCAATTTAGTCCCTGTACCTTAATTTTGGTCAATTTAATCCCTGTACTTTAAGATTTAGAACAATTAAGGACAATTCTTAACACCGTTAACTTTTTTCGTTAAATTTGTCCACGTGGCGTTGGATTTGCCATGTCAGATTGTGTGATGTGGCATTGCCATGTCAAATTCTATGATGTGGCATAAAACAATATATTTTTCGAACCCATGACCTTTTGGCTAGAGAATGAAGACTCCACCACCAAGCTATACATTAATCTTGTTATATAATAGTTAAAATTTGTAATAATAGTAATTTGTCTACACGTGGGCACCAAGTTCTCCACCACCAAGCTGTCCAGCAAAACACATAAATTTTTTCACTAGAAAGCAAAATAATAATAATAATAATAATAATAATAATAAATAAATAAATAAATAAATAATTTGTCTTACTATTTAAGATGTTATGCTCTCAACACCTTGTCAAACAGTCATTTTTAGCCCATAAATTGTGTAAAAGTTCATGATTTTATTTATTTATTTATTTGCTTTCTAGTGCAAAAATTTATGCGTTTTGCAGGACAGCTTGGTAGTGGAGAACTTGGTGCCCACGTGTAGACAAATTACTATTATTACAAATTCTAACTATTATATAACAAGATTAATGTATAGCTTGGTGGTGGAGTCTTCATTCTCTAGCCTAAATTAAAGGTCATGGGTTCGAAAAATATATTGTTTGATGCCACATCACAGAATTTGACATGGCAATGTCACATCACACAATCTGACATGGCAAATCCAACGCCATGTGGACAAACTTAACGAAAAAAGTTAACGGTGTTAAGTATTGTCCTTAATTGTTCTAAATCTTAAAGTACAGGAATTAAATTGAACAAAATTAAGGTACAGGAACTAAATTGAACAAAATGCTACAGTACAGGGACCTAGCATGTACTTTGACTATATATATATATATATATATATATATATATATATATATATATATGATACACATATATAATTTAACATTCATATAAATATTTAATTAAAATATAATTTATAATTAAATTAATTGTTATATGATAATTTTAATAAAATGATAATTAAAAATAGGAAAAAGATATGATAGATGTAGGTGTATGGTAAGATTGGTGGATAAATTAAATACTAACAATGTTATAACGGTGTAAGGGTGATTTTGTCCAATACAAATGAAATGTACAACAATTAAAGCAAAATGTATATATTTATTAACATATAAAAAAAGGAACAAAAATCAAGGACATAACTTGTATTGACACATATTATGTTTTTAGATTAAATTAATATGTGTATGTTAATGCATGCTTTTGATTTATTTATTTTTTTCAAAATTTGATAATTTTTAAGGTGAATTATTGTGGTTAAATATTAAAGTGTGCATACATAGGCAAGAACTACTATTATTATTCTATTTCACATTTTGATGAATTAGTTAGTTTGATAAATTAGGCATTTGACAAGGTAGGTATATATATTGAATAAGAATTATGTAGTTTGGTGAATTATATTAAATTTGATGAGTTATGTATACTTTGATTATACATTTGGTGTTTTGATGAATTAAGTGTTTTGACTTTTGATTAAGAATTAAGTTCTTTGATTACAAATTAGGTAATTTGACAAATTAAATATTTAAGTTTACCTTCATCCATTATGTCGATCGAATAGATTTTGCAATTGATTATGTGAATGAAGGAGATTCAATTGATTTGATCGAATTTCCTTGACCAATATGAAAGAATATCGTGGAGTTAGTTAGCAAATTATGTCTTAATTAAGAAGATAGGGAAATTACGTATTTGCCCTTCCATGTGCGTGTGTTTTATTATTTTGTAAGTTAATCTTGTGTGGCTACAATTCTACCCTATTTTTCACCTAAAGAACATATATGCACAAGGAGCCCCACCCTATATATATATATATATATATATATATATATATATATAATTCGCAACCGCAACCGTTCTTATGAAAGAATGGTCGCAAATGCTCAACATTTTGTTGCCCTAGTATCCGCGGTGGTTGTACAATAGTTGCAAAAAAATATTTACAATAGGCCTGGATTAGTTGTTCTATTCTAGTGATATATATAATTTATTAATATTAGGAGGAAAATTTTAAAAGGAATGTGTAGCATTACTAATTAAAATTATATTATATATTATATATATGAAATAATAACGTGACCACATATTGTGATTATAAAATTAAATGAATCAATCATGGAAGGACTACTTTTAAACTAACATAATAGCAATACATGACGTTGATTTTTATAAAACTTGTAGTACAAATTTTAATCCATTTAGCAAATGTATCGACTTCAGTGTGCAGATACAAAAATGTAATATAAAAATAAATATTTACAAATTCAGAATAGCTTGAATTTCTTATTTTCTTCCGAAATATTGGAAAAAAGAAAATTAGTAACGGTTGTATTACGTTCCAACATAGAGGAGTTATCTAAATTTGAGTCGTCCAGATCAGCATTACCTCAGCTTCCACCCGTCTGAGATAATACCCAAATTACGTGTCAATCATGAGGGCGCCACGTGTATCACAACACCGTCCTCGTAAAAAACCAAACCCTAATTTCATGCAAAAAGAAGGCTTCGGCTACCTGATCCGTCCAATGCATGCGCGGCGAGTTACACCTTTCCAGTTTTCCTTTGGACTAATTTATTTTAGATTTTTTCATTCATTCCATCCAAGAATCTCTCACACCTATAAATACCATCGCAATCACAATTTTCTAATCCAGTTGACTGCTTTTCTTTATCATAATTGCATCGTCCGTTTATCACTCCCATGTCCACCGAACTGATTCTTCCTCGCGTCCTCATCGTCTCGCGACGGACCGTTCGGAAGAACAAATTCGTAGATTTTGTCGGTGAGTATATATAATGCTTTAATTTCCTTCTCGAATCGCATGTTTTTAGCTTTGTTCTGGGTATTGGTTAATATATTGCGTTCTTGATTTTCCGGTCTGTTATTATCAGGGGAATTGAATATCATCGTCTTGATTTTTTTTTTTTTAAGCTTCTGGGTATTGATTAATTTATTGCGTTCTTGATTTTCCGGTCTGGAATCAGGGGAGTATCATCTTGATCTTATAGTGAGTTATGGAGCGGTTCCGGTCATCGTTCCTCGGGTCGCCGGAGTTCATATGTTGCTAGACAGCTTCGAGCCGATCCACGGCGTTCTTCTCTGCGAAGGGGAGGATCTGGATCCGTCCCTGTATGAGGGCGAAGCCGGGGCGACGGATCTCTCGGCGGAGGAGATGGAGGAGATCCGGCGGCTGCATGCGAGCGACACCGCCATTGACAAAGAAAAAGACACGATAGAGCTCCGGCTGGCCGAGGTTTGCCTGAAGAGGAACATTCCGTACCTGGGAATATGCCGGGGATCGCAGGTGCTGAACGTTGCATGCGGCGGGACACTGTATCTGGACGTGGGGAAAGAGGTGTCGAAGAAAATCTCGCAGGAGCAAAAGGTCGAACACGTTAACTACGACGACTACGACGGCCACCGCCACGCGGTTAAGGTTGTGGACAACACCCCATTGCACCACTGGTTCAAGGATTCTCTGGAAGATGATGGGAAAATGGAGATTTGGGTGAATAGTTATCATCACCAAGGAGTCAAGAAACTCGCCCCCCGCTTCGTTCCCATGGCGTTTTCCCCGGACGGATTGATCGAAGGGTTCTATGATCCCGATTCCTATAACCCGGAAGACGGAAAGTTCATCCTGGGGCTCCAGTTCCACCCGGAAAGAATGAGGAAACCCGATTCCGACCAATTCGATTACCCAGGATGCCCCTTTGCCTATCAGGTAACCTAGCTGTTGAGTTTGTATGGATTAGATGCCTATAAATATATTGATTGTATCTCTAAGGGTCTGTCACTACTTCTGTGGGGATGTAGGCATATTGACGAACCATATAAATCTTATTTTTCTCTTTATTTTTCTCTTTTCTTTACCCTTTTTGTCATTATTATTGTTTCTTGTTCTTGTTAATCTCAACACTAGCTAATTCTAATTCTCCGATCCTCTTAAAATCTTGTACCTTGAGATCAGTAATTAAATCCGCCATTTTCAATGTGTTTTTGTGCAGCAATTTGTCAAGGCCGTGTTTGCCTACCAGAAGAAGATTACAAGCAGCACAAACACCATCCCAAAAGCTCCAAAGCTCAACCAAGAAATAGAGAAACGGACGAAAATATTCCTCAAAAGCTTCTCCCAAGCCGGTGCAGAGTTTCTCGAGGTATAATAATATAAGGTGACTCACAAAAACACTACTGAAACTAATCAAAAATATGATATAGTAAGATTGAACAGAAACATGAAATTAAAAGTCTAACCTGATAATAGGAGTGTGTAAACTGATAATAAGAAGACAAGAGTGAGTAATGCTTGGGGATATAATGCAGACAAATAGAGCGCTTAGCGTGCAGCAGGAGAAGAGGCTGAAGCAAATGGGGGCGACGGTGAGGAACGCTTCATGGTACGTGGAGAGGGTGAAGCTGAACGAGGAAAGAGAAGGGTTAGCGAGGAAGGTGATGGGGAAGATGACGGTGGAACAGCTCTACGATCTCAGGTCGTTCTACCACATGATGGGGAAGATATGTTCTGAAATCTTGGAAAGCAAACTCCGAATCCAAGATATGGTCGTGTACGAGGCTGCTGCTTCTTGATCGATTATCCACTCCACCTTCAGTTCGTGATCTGGATATATGGCTCTTTGTATTATATGCAGTTTTTTGCTTTGTTAGTTGTCTTTTTTCCTTTCGTTAGCTTTTAGGTAGGAGGAATCACATTCACATGTTTGTAGTGTAAAGTAAGCACAAGTCTCATGTTTCTCCCAGCCTCCTCCCTCCGCAACTGTACTACTACCTATTAATCTATTAGAACCTTATCTGTCCTGTAGTGTAAAGCTTTTGTATCATATGGTGTCCTGTACTGCAAAGCTTTTGTATCATATATAATTCTATGTAAGATACTTGTGAATCTGGAATCTCAAATCAGTAGATTTAGGCATTTATCATTATCTGAAATCTGAATGGTGTTTTAGCTGCATTATTGTTTATATATATTCTTCATACAAATGTGCCATCCTAAGAAGTTGTTTTAAATTTGTTTTCATTGGCAAAACAAGGTTGGCGATTACTTATTAGACCAGACCAGACTGGTGGCTTGTGTATTTTGGGCTAAATATTTTCCTTTTTAAGGATACTTTTATGGATGCCAAGCTAGGCCCTAATCTAAGTTATGTCTGGAGAAGAAATATGGGGTGGAATGTTGGTGGCTCAAGGTCGGATTGTTGGTTTGATTCCGGACCTATTGATTTATGGTTAGCGCTAGTTTGATTCGGACCTGTTCAACAATTGGAATGTCCCTGTTAACCATGGTTTGATGGAATGTTGGTTTGATTCAGGACATATTGATTTATGGTTAGCCCTGGTTTGATTCGGGACCTATTCAACAACAGGGATATCCCTGTTACTCGGAGTATGAAGATTTATGGTTAGCTCTGGTTTGAAAGCCAATTTAAATTCTCAAAACCCTTGTTAGCTTGGAGTATGAAGATTTATGGTTAGTTCTGGTTTAATTCGGGATCTGTTCAACGGGACGTCAATTTAATTCTCAAAACCCCTGTTAGCTCGGAATATGAAGATTTATGGTTAGCTCTGGTTTAACCCCTGTTAGCTCGGAATATGAAGATTTATGGTTAGCTCTGGTTTAACCCCTGTTATCTCAAAACCCCTGTTAGCTCGGAATATGAAGATTTATGGTTAGCTCTGGTTTAACCCCTGTTAGCCCAGAATTCCGAAGATTTATGGTTAGCTCTGGTTTAACCCCTGTTAGCCCAGAATATGAAGATTTATGGTTAGCTCTGGTTTGATTCGGGATCTGTTCAACCACAGGAACGCCAATTTAATTTTCAAAACCCCTGTTAGCCAGCCGGAGTATTAAGATTTATGGTTATGGTTTGATTTGGACATGTTCAACCACTCAAAACACCTGTTAGCCCAGAGTATTAAGATAGATTTATAGTTAGTCCTGATTTGATTCTGGACTTGTTCAACGACAGGGATGCCAATTGAATTCTCAAAATTCCTGTTAACCCAGAATATGAAAATTTATGGTATGGTATCGGCATGACGATATTAGAGGAATTTACTCAGTTAAAAATGGGTATAGATTTTTATGCCACCCCCTTTAGTGGACACCAAGATTTGGAGCCTGGTATTGAAGTGTCATATCCCTTAAGTGGAAAATTTTCTAAAGCCATCCTCCCTAATACACCTAATCTGTCTAATAGAGGCATGTAGGTGCAGCCACTATGCCCTTTATGTATAGAGCTAACCAAGAGGAAATGATGCATGTTTTATGTTGGTGCATATTTGGGCGATTTCGCAGCTGGCAGTGCCTGCGGTTGGAGGCCAGAACGTTGACAGCGTGACAGCGGGCAGGAGGATAAGAATCTTGCATGCTCTCTGGAAGGCGAGAAATAGGTAGGGCGGTGTGGGAAAATGTGGTGGCGACACCTGGAGGGAGGTGGAAGTTAGCGAGGAAGGTGATGGGGAAGATGACGGTGGAACAGCTGTACGATCGATCTACCACATGATGGGGAAGCTAAGATATGTTCTGAAACCTTGGAAAACAAACTCCGAATCCAAGATATGGTCGTGCATGTACGAGGCTGCTGTTTCTTGATCGATTATCCACTCCACCGTCAATTCGTGATCTGGATATATGGCTCTTTGTATGCAGTTTTTTGCTTTGTTAGTTGTCTTTTTTCCTTTCGTTAGCTTTTAGGTAGGAGGAATCACATTCACATCTTTGTAGTGTAAAGTAAACACAAGTCTCATGTTTCTCAAAACAAGGTTTTCAATTACTTACTAGACCAGACTCGTGGCTGATGTCCTAAGGATACTTTTATGGATGCCAAGCCCTAATCTAAGTGATGTCTAGAGAAGTATCATGGCTAGTCAGAACATATTAAGAGTGGTTTCAGGCGTAGGATTGGTAATGCATGGCTCATCCACTTATATTTGTAGATAACAACCCAAGCTTGAAATGTTGGTTTGATTCGGGACCTGTACGACACGGATATGATGTCAATTTAATTCTTAAAATTCTTGTTAGTCCGGAGTATGAAAGAACATGAACGAGTATGAAGAATAGGGACGCCAATTTAATTCTCAAAACCCGTATGAACTCCTATTTAGTCCGGAGTATATATGAAGATTTGTGGTATATATTGGCATGGCGATATTACTGTTAGCCCGGAGTTACGCCAATTTAATTCTCAAAACCCCTATTAGCCCGGAGTATGAAAGAGCAGGGACGCCAATTTAATTTTCAAAACCTCTGTTAGCCTAGAGTATGAACCCCTGTTAGCCCAAAAAGTATTGGAATTATTTGAAATTTAGCTTTTATGGCACATGACTACATATGACCGACTGAAGTCAAAATTATTCTTATGGACTGACTTTTGTAATATATTTAAGATGGCCAATGCCCTACTGATGCATCAAAAAAAAAAGTTGGAAAACAAAAATTACAATCTCGATCACCAAATTAAAGATGTAATTTGCTTCTTCTTATCAGCAGCATTTGTACATCAAGTACCACCCTCCATGTACTTTTGAGTTGAAATGGTGCATCCCAAAAATGAGAATTTAGGATCTAACTTTTGTTAGTTTGTGGCACAATTAGTGCTACTAATTGCTCTTTGTATGCAGTTTCTTATTCGCTTTGTTAGTTATCAAATTCATCGCACTTCTCTTTCTTCCTTCGTTAGCTAGCTTAGGTAGGAGGAATGGCATTCACATGTTTGTACTGTCAAGTAAGCACAAGTCTTATGTTTCTCCCTCCTCCCTCCGCAACTGTACTATCTATTAATCTATTAGAACCTTATCTGTCCTGTACTGCAAAGCTTTTGTATCATAATTCTATATGTATAAGATACTTGTGAATCTGGAATCTCAAATCAGCAGATTTAGGCATTTATCATTATCTGAAATCTGAAAGGCGATTTAGCTGCATTATTGCTTATATACATCCTTCATACAAATGTGACATCCTATTTTAATTTGTTTTTACTGACAAAACAAGGTTGACTATTAGTTACTAGACTAGACTCGTAGCTTGTGTATTTTGGACTAAATATTTTCCTTAAGGATACTTTTATGGACGTCAAGATAGGCCCTAATCCTCCGGAGAAGTAATATGGCTAGTCAAGACCACCATTGTTAGCTCTAGTTTGATTTGGGACTTGTTCAATCATAGGACGACCACCAATTTAATTCTCAAAACCATTGTTAGCCTGGAGTATTAAGATTTATGGTTAGTCCTGGTTTGATTTCGAACTTGTTCAATGACTCAAAACCCCTGTTAACCCAGAGTATTAAGATTTATAGTTAGCCCTGGTTTGATTCGGGACCTGTTTATAGTTAGCTCTGATTTGATTCGGACCTGTTAAACAATAGGGACGTCAATTTAATTTTCAAAACCCCTGTTAGCTTGGAGTATGAAGATTTATGGTATTGGCGTGGTGATATTAGAGGGATTTACTCAGTTAAAAATGGGTATAGATTTTTATGCCACCCCTTTGGTGGACACCCAGATTTGGAGCCTGGTATGGAAGTGTCATATCCCCTAAGTGAAAGAATTTCGTATGGGAACTCTAAAAGCCATCCTCCCTACTACACTTAATCTGTCTAATAGAGATATGTAGGTGCAGCCATTATGCCCTTTATGGCTTTATGTATAGAGCTACCAAAAACCAAAGCCTCACCAAAGTGCATCCCAAAAATGAGAATTTTGGATCTAACTTTTGTGGCATAATTAGTGCTACTCATCATGGGACAGGACTGTAGATGGCTGGTTAGTGTCAAATCTAATAGAAATTTGAGATTTAGCTTTAATTAGTGACATAATTAGGATTGCAAATGGTGGATTAAATTAAAGTTAAACTTATGCTTATCAACAACTACGGAGTAACTTTTATAATATAATAATTAAGATATATGGTCTACTGATGCAGTAAGAAAAAAAAAAAATTGAAAGTAAAAACTACAATCTCCCCAAAGATCTGTTTCTTGTGAGTTGCTCCAAGAATGTGTCGGAATCAAGATATTGCATTTTGTCAGGAACGAGGAATGAAATCCAATCCCCCGAAAGCAAACAAGACAAATAGAAACCAAGATTTGCATTTTTATCATATTATTACAACTCTTTAATTACCAAGAACAGTACAGTGTTGGTCATTACCAGATCATGTGAAAAGACAAACGCAATGATGAATGTGGAGTTGATGATGTTGTGACTAATTGGTCGGATTTGAATCATTATAAACTCATCTCCTGCAGTCTTCCATTTGTTAGCTCTTGATTTGCACTTAATGACATATATTTATGGACAAATTTGAGAATTTGTACTGTAAAGTAAGCACAAGTCGGTTTCTTCTCATGTTTCTCTCTCCTCCCTCCGCAACTGTACTACCTATTAATCAATTAGAACCTTATCTGTTCTGTACTGCAAAGCTTTTGTATCATAATTCTATATATGTAAGATACTTGTGAATCTGGAATCTCAAATCATCAGATTTTGGCATTTATCAATATCTGAAAATCTAAATGCATGGCGTTTTAGCTGCATTATTGTTTATATATATTCTTCATACAAATGTGCATGCCATCCTAAGAAGTTCGGCAGGAGGGATCGGAGTTTAAAAATCTACTTGATTTTAATATGATTTTACTGGCAAAACAAGGTTGACAATTACTTACTAGACCAGACTCGTGGCTCGTGGCTCGTGTCCTAAAGATACTTTTATGGATGCCAAGCTACCATACTGAAGCTAGCCATAATCCAATTGATGTCCGGAGAAGTATCATGGCTAGTCAAAACATCATTAAGAGTGGTTGCAGGCGTAGGATTGGTAATGGCTCATCCACTTATATTTTGAGATACCCGTGACTTTTGGA